AGTTTAACAAGCCATTTTGACAATGGGAAAATTGCGAATGAAAAGAAACAAACGCACAAAGCCCCTTTCAACGGTTAATAAAGCATTTTATAATGTTTTAGGGAATAATTGAGCACTAATTCGCAATTGTCTGCCGTCACATCAAATAAAAACGCAAACACACACACAACGAGGGGACCTTTTTGCATTTTCGTTTGATTAGGGATTATTCAATTACGTTTTTATTCGCATCTAATGCCACGTAATGTACCATATTTCGGTCGTTTTCCGGATCAAAAGTATTAGCTTTTGTGGGATTTTATCGTTTCAATGTGAAGATGAAAAATGAGGCAAAACGTTATTTAATTAGAATTTCGATATTTTTGAAATATAAGGGCACAAATATGATTTAAAAATTGTTCTTTATGAAAGTGCAAAAATATCACCTCTCTGGTCGTCTAATGTCTGAAACAGCTTAGAAAACAGCAAACATTCACTTCCTTATTATGCCACATTAGCTTAAAGGCACCTCATTAAAGCGAAATTTTGATTATGTACAATTAATTCTGATTACCTTAGTAATTTCCGGTACTACTCATCAATAGTTTCCTTAATTTGGCAACCGAAATGCCACTTTAAATGTTAAATAGCATCCTTACTCGTTATTTACATCTGAATTAATGTAAAAATTTTTATTTTTGTTATCTGAATAAATTACGCAAAAAAATAGACTGTGTTAAACTTTGAAGACTTGATGAAAAAGCTCATTTAGGACACCAGATCCTGGGCAGATTTTGGATAACCGATAAAATAAACTCAATATTGTGAAAGGACCTGATTGAGTACGGTTCAAGTTCGGAATGAACATAAAGAAGTGTAAATAGATGTGTCTTCAACAAATTTTTTTAAACTTTTTGTCCGTTTACAATACTAAACTTTTGTGGTCGGTGTTTTTATAAAAAAATGCGAAAAAACAGTGTATTTTCATAAATTACTAATCGATATTAAGTGAATACCAAACTATAAAAAATAATTTTCGTATTTCAACGTTGATGTAAATCTCATGGTTTAACAAATAGAAGTGTATAGAAGTAATTAAGAATTTTGGTGAAATTTTATTTTGATCTACCTATGTTTCTTTGGTTTACGTCACATTTCAGCTAGGGCTTAAATTAACTGAACTTGAGACAATACAGTAAAGTTTTTGGTTCAATAAAATGAATGTATATAGCAATAATAATCTTTCGAATTTTGGATAAAGGCTATTGACCAAATCGGTCTTTCCGCCCAATGAATGCAATTTCTTTAAGTTTACGTTTTTTTGCTGATGCGTAATTTTCAAAATGTATGAAGCATTTAATTGTCTTGAAATTTTTCTTATATGAAATTTATTACATTCGCAAGGAATCCTGCAAATTATGTTTATGAAAAGTGAAAGAATATTTGCAGGTGAATTTTTACTTTGTGGTAAGTATTGGATGGAGAGAAAAATTTATTTAATGCATCTTTAAAACCCCGTTAAAATGTGATAGTTCGATTGAGCGTATATTTTGTTTCGTTTGGGAAGGTTTTTCTAAAATGATTTTTGATCTAAAATGATCTTGTACGGAAAGTTTTCCTGTTGATTTTCTGGAAAATTTTGAGAACCTTTCTCAAAAGTCAATAAAGAAATAAAGTCAACCTTCTATACCTTTTTAGTGTATTATTTAGTAGATTATTCGTTCTTCACTGTGAAATAAAAGCTCTCTTTACGTTTTTGCAGAAAAACGCTTAATAAAGCAGCCACATCTGTTTATTTTCATCTGCTTTCTTGTACTTGCTTTTCTTTACTTTTTTAATTCTATACAAAACTTTTTTTCAATTTGTTTTCGTCGAAAGACAAACATAAAAATTCTTACCATCAAATTTCAATAATCGAACAACAGCAAACGTCCATCTTCACTTTCATACATTCCAACCATTGACATAAGTAAAGAAAGAAACGAAGTGAACATTAAAAAATATTGAGACAACAGCTTTCCAGACTATTTTGTGCAAAAATGTGCACATCGTAAACTACTCAAAAGTAACCTTTTCTATAGTAAATTTGAAAGAACCAGGTGGTTTTGTCTAATTAAAACATTTGTAGTTTACCGCCAATAAAAAATGAGAAAAAACAGCAAAACAGCCAACGGAATGGTTTACATGTATCGCGAGATGTTGCGGAGAGTGCAAATAACCAATCATTCCAATTACATTGACGAGTATATAGAGGAACATGATTTCGCATTCTGCAAATAAATACCGCTGCGGGCTCGACACATTTTTGCATTGAGTATTTCCGATTAACCGTGCAAATCGGATTTTGAGCCAAAAATGTACAGTGCGGCAAGATAGAGAAGCAATTTAATTAGTTACCAATTACCAGAACATTGAAATGGTTTTATGAAATGTTCATCATTTGGCATTGGTGGCTTTGGCATCTAAACAATGTAATTAAAATTCACCAGAAAATGTTCCTTTCCACAAAAGATTGATCTGGAAATGTCCATGTTCCAATAGGAAAGTAATATCCTTAATGTTCAAGCGATGTATATCAAACGTTTTCACGCACGCTCACGCTCATTTTGATGTAATGGCGCTTTTTACCTAAATACACCTTTTGCTGAATAAAACTTAATTATTCATAGCGTTCATTATTACGGGGTGCCTGCTGTTTGCTTTCAACTTAACAGAGACAAAGAAAAAACGCTGTATCGGTATTTAGACCGACGACAATTTTTTTCCACCCGTCTGGGATTATCGAGGGAAATGAGGATTTCCACAGCTAATATCCAGAAAATGCCCTATCGACATATGTGTACCACTTATAGGAATTGCGGTTCGAATTTCCTCATAGAACGAGCTACGAAGCGAATATCTCGTTAGGTATGAGATATTTTTTAAATAAAACACATTCTTGCATAGAAGTGAATATATTTTCATTATTGGCTAACAACTAAATTTCAGTTGTTAGTAAATAATAGTCGCATTCCAACTTTAAAAAGTCTCACGGAAAGTTTCATATTTTTTCAAATATCTGTAATTGCTCCTTAGAAATCTGAAAAAATGTACTTATTACCCAGGAAAAATGCGGTTGTTCTTGTCGGTTCCGATAAGTAAACCACTCTTGTTTTCGTTTTTAGCAAGAAATAAAAATATCAAGGATCACTTCGCTTAGCTTACTACGCCAAATTTATAACAATCTCAAACAATTTAAGCACGAAATCAGGGATTTTTACATTCCAAAAATTCATCAAATACATATTTCCTTACGACCAATAGTTAATGGTATACATTCACCTACACCTAAGAAGAACATTTTGTGGAAAAATTGTCAGACCTGTATCAATCCAAACCAAATTCTGGTGAGTTTTGATGTTGTAAGTCTGTTCCCTAACGTACCAGTTGATGAAACTTGAAGTAAAATCAAACAAAAATTGAACATTCCAAGCAACCGTTTCTAAAGAAAAATTACGATTTTCTACAGTAACGCTTAATAGTTTCCTGGAAATGTGCATAATTTTCTGTCGATTAAACTGTGCAAATCGGAACTTGCATTAAATAAGCAATCGAAGTGTAATTGGACCATTTGCATGGTGGCATGCAGGCAGGAAAACTGAAAATACCCCACACCATTTACGTTATTTATTTAATTTTCATCATTTCGCCCCGGATATTACATTTCGTTGTATCGTTCTCCCCTAATAATTTAGTCTCGGCAAGAAAAACGAGGGACCAGGAGACTGAATGTTATTAATTCGTTCATTACCTCGGATATAGCACTTTTGGCAGGTAAATGGAAACGTAAAATATGTCCTAGTTTTCGCTGCAAAAATCCAGCTACGTGACTAATCTGTTCGTGCTTACTAGGCATCAGTTGCGTTCAATAAAAATCGACAATTTATAGGCATAAGCTTTCAAAAAGTTAACTAGCATTAATAAGGTTAATTTGTATTCCCTAAATAAACCGTCTAGAAATGTTCAACGCTATTAAAATCTCAAATCAATTGTTATATTTATATTATGTTATGAAGAATGTAATCCGAAACAGAAGCAGAAGTAGAAGGAACGTAAAATGTGGGCATACTCTCGCATACATATACAGGATCTCAACATTAGATGTTCCTTTATAAAAATTCGACACACTTCCCTATCAAGAAGTTGACACCTAAAGTACGGCGCTAAAAATGTTTTTGGAAAATCATTTTTAAAGCAACGTTAAATCTCATCACACCCTGTATGTTAAAATCCCTAGAAAGCAATTTTTTAATATCCTAAAGCTAGAAACAAAATGCACGTTTGTTTGCGATCGACAAAATTGACCGAAGTGATCTAATATAATATCTTCAGATACCGCTTAATCGATTGCACTTAAATATCCCACTTTGAATCTATATCACAATTAACTTATTATTATTTAAAACCCACAGATATTTTAAATCTTAGGAAATACAAAAGTCTTCAATTTCTATGTCTGCAGATATTTTCTAAATACTGTCTAACATCTCTGGTCAATTTGGATCAGTTTTAAAATTTGCGAAGGCAGAAATTAATAGATAAATTCTAATTCACAGTACTGCTTAAGGATTTACTTTTACTCAGAAATCGTAAATCCCGTAAAATCACCACAATATAGTTTATCTGTTTCAAAGTAACAAAAAACACGCTTTATCTGAAACCAGTTGCAGTGCTATGTACCAATTCTATGATAATTTCAGAAAATAACTCATTTTTTGCCACAAACGCTCTGTTTAAAACAAGTGATGGCAAAAACATAACTCGTTTTTTCTATGTTGCCACACAAAATTACATTCTGTTTTATTTCTCTGCTTCTATTTATTCACTTTCTGTATATCTGTTTTTCTTTTTGCGTTGATGTAAAGAAATAGTTCGGAAAACATCAGTGATAAATTCAAGTTTAATTAATTAGCAATCATTTCCAATAATTTTTTAAATTAAAGTTGATTAAATTTCAATTGATTTTTTTTCTGAATACTTACTCGTAGGCATCGCACAATTTCTTCGTCTTGGATTGTTTAACTCACCTGAAACAAACAAAAAACAAGATTAATACGATGTGAAAATAAATTATTTGCCTGATCTGATTACTTGACCAGTGATTTAAATATTTTGGCTTTATTTTTGTTGAATTTTGATTTATGATTAATTGAAATTCGTAGATCCAATATTGAAATTTGAGCTTTCCTTGTTATAGACATTTATTAATTGCATTTTTTATTGTGTATTTTACTTTGCAAAAATTTAGAGCATTTACTATACCTAAGGTGGTCAGGATTGGTTTTCATCTGGAATTTCATAACAACCGGTAGAAATACGGCCTTGCCAAAAGGAACTGTATTCATTATAAGATTATCCTTTAATAACATATACAGAGTGATTGAGAAGAAAAAGAAAATAATGTAAATATACCTAAGTGGAGGAAGTCAAAATAAGCTCGAGTAGCTCGTATGTCCGACTTTAATTTATTTACAAATACATTGATTAATTGGATTTTAAAAGCTAACAGAAAAATTACTGCAAACGCAACAAAGCGAACTGAAAATTAATCAATTAAAATTTGAATGCCTAATCTCCAAAAACAATTTGAACCTCAAGTGCGTTAAAACTTTTACAAGATTAGGACGAAAAATTTCCAACTATCTTTAGACGTGCTGATGAAACTGCGGTGTTTTTACGTGCAACTGTTGTTTCTAAAAGACAACACAAGCTCGGTTTGGAACGTGAAGAAAAAGTCTCGATATTGTAGGTAATAATCATTGAATTAATTTATGAAAACGGACGATTGCTTAAATGCGACTTGTTCACCAATGAAGCTCAGAAACCCAAATATATTTATCGAAGTGGAAGGTGGTGTTTTCAAAATCTGTGCTTTTATTTGTCATAATATATCTTTTGTTTTGATAATTTTATAATATTCTTCGTTGTTCTTAGATCCAAATTAATTAAAGTATTTCCGAAATATTGATCTCCTTCCTATGCATATCTTTAAAATATTTGCATTTCGAGCTGAGCTTTTTTATATTCACTTCATAACCTGCTATGCCAATCTATAACATTGTAAAACCGAAAACCGTTGATTTTCTTTATGTAGCAAAAGGTGACATTTTGGAAGTTTAAATTGTATGATGACTTAAGTATCTACTCGTTTTCAATAGATGGAACGTGTAACCATTAATCTACATTCACATGCTTAACATTTTTGCTAACACTATTTTATCTTTATTCAATAATACTTATTAAGATTTGATTGGACTTTAGTACGGATAAGTTTGGAGATATTTGAGAACATGTGACTAGAAGTGATTTATACTTTTTTGAGCCAAAGAAAAGCTAATTAGGCAACGATACATGAAAAAAAATCATAAAAACATTTAACTCTCGCAAAATTTTACAAGAAATATTAATCCCAATTTAGATGTGAAGGTACTAGCATGGTATCGTTCAATGCACCTTTTACTGTAGTTTGTAAGCAAACAAAATCACGCTATCAGTTAATCATGGAACAAAATTTTGCAAATAAAATATAAAAGGAAAAGCGAATAATTTCTACATATTAAGTCGTTCAGTCCTTCCAATAATAATTTTATTTACAATTACAATCTATACATATTGAACTTTAATCGCTTTTTCGCTCTGTCGCAAAAAATTGAAAGAAAAAAGACTTGAAAGAGGTTGAAAGGAAATTTGTACTTGTTCTTGTGATCTAAAAGAAAACAGGGTTGAACGCGGTTTACCCGAAAAACATATTTATTTACCCAATTGAATTCAAACCTAAAAGGTATCTAGTGACTGATACTTTTGCAATTTGTACAGTATGAGTTAATGCACATAAATACAGTTTCAAAAACAGTTTTTATACTTTAACAGGGAAATTTTCCATAGTTAACACCACTGCATCTGCTCGTATCTAACCCAAAGTGAGTATTTTTCTAAATTTATAATGTTTAGTTACAACGGCAGCAAACTGTTTGCTAAAAAATTTGCAACAAATAAGAACAGGTCGAAGCAACTCTGAAGAAATACATCATAATTGAAATACTACCGGTTATTGCCACTGGCAGGTTATTAGCAAATCGGATACTCACAGCAATGTCATTACCAGTATTATTTAACAACACTCGGTAACTATAAACTAGTAGCCTTGACCCTTAACAACTTATTCACCTGCGAAGTGGAATTTCAAGTCTACGCAGCCAAGCGTGGCGCAAAAGTGAGCGTTTCCTCTTTTGCAAATGCTTCTTGTGCGATTTTACAAACTGAAATGTTTGTTTTTATATGGGAATGCATATTTTAAACTGCTGAAGTTAATTCCTTATGTTTGCGTGAATTTAACATGCGGAACAGTCGATGCTATGAAATTCGAAAATGAGTAAAGACAAAAGTAAAATTGTGACCAATGAAAATATTGAAGAAACAATCCATTAACTACGACAAAACTGATTGCAGCTATTGCAATAATGTCGCTTTTATAAACAAAGAACATTTGTGCCTATCTGCATCTGATAAATGTGATTTCATAAGGGCACAGTTGGGAGAATAACTAATTTTAATGGAATAAGGGATGAGACAAGGATCTAAATGTACCTACGCTCATCTCTATTTTAAAGATGAATGAACATCTGAAAAAGGCACTTTTACCTGAACGATAGCAAAATTCGCAACATCTTTTGGAAAGATGAAAATCAGTTACAAAAACCCAAGACATAAATAATACAACTACAGGGTGTTCCAAAATAATTGAAAAAACATTCTACATACAAAAGAAAACTAATATCCCAAATCAACATGCCTCACACGTAAGCCGGATCCTTTCCGAGAATAAGTATTCTGCAGTTGAAATTTCTTGCTACTTTGCAGGTATTTGGATTTAATCGATGTCGATTAATATGAAGATGATTAAAAAACTTTGAATTCCAAGCGGGGCCACACAAACTTTTTAATACGAATTTTGAAGAGATCAGCCCTTTTAGAACGCTTTTACAGCGAAATTACAACTTTAATGAGTCAATAATTAGCGATTTTCCTCACTGGCTTGAACAAATAGATGTATGGTTCCGTAGTGAGGATCCACCTGCGGACAAACTGAGGCAATGTTTGAATAGTCAATATTCTCCAAAGTTCAGAGTAAAAAGAATGTTGTTGGTTCAAAAATCATATTTAATGAATGTTCAGTTCAAAAATCATAATTAAATTTCAATAAATAAATATTCCACGCGCCTTCACTTTGCTCTTGCCTCCTAGTAGAAATTTAGTAAAGTTGTACTACAAGAAAAATATACAAACAAATTCATTATGGTTTTTCCAGTAACAAATATTGAAACATTCTACAAAAGAAAAACTATTCTGTTTATTACTTTGAGGGTCATCATCAAAACGAGTTTGTAAATAACACTGCTTTATTAAACTTAGTATTATTTTTTTAAAACGATTTTGCAGATTTAGTTTAACCACCCTGTAAAAACGTGACCACGTAACCGTAAGTTTTTATTTGGTTTGAGTTCGATCAAGTCTTTGCGGCATGTTTTCTGCAGCATAATTAGATGAGAGCAGATTAAATTAAAACGGCGCAACAAAACTTAAACTGGGTGAGTTTTTCGGGCTGTGAGGCCGAAGAAAATAATTTCTTTCTGACGTTTCGCAATCACGACTAACTCCCATTTTCAGAGGTGGTTTTGTTTTCTCGACTTAAAACCCCGAAAAACTGAACAGGTTCAAGCAATGGCCACGCAAAATCAACTGTTTTGATAAAACTGAAACTATTATTAGTTATAAGTTAATAACTATTTCCTAAGGCACTTAAAAATCAATTAAATTTCCTAAATATTCTCAGATTAACTCCAGGCGCTGATTAAAAACACCATTTCCATTCAATCTAGTACGAGGACTATTCATGAACTGTGGTTTCCCATATACGCAGAATTATTGAAAAGCACATGCACTGAATGTAATTCACAGGTTAACTTAAAGCGGAAATATTATTTTACCGGTTCCATTATTCAGCCGTTTGATAAGAGTATGCAAATTGCACAAGTCTAACAATGTGTGATTTAGCATGCAAAATTCACTGTAGACAATCGATGGATTACTCACACGGAAGTTTATTTTAATCGTACTCGCATCATCGATTACATAATGGGTTTTCATTAATATAACCGACATATTTATAAGGTAGTGAGCACATTACAAAATCATTTTTTTTGTCGGAAAACTATTGTTGAGCTCGATGTTTAAAACGACTATACAATATGAGAAATATATTCCAATTACCTCATTGTCTATAGAGATAAATGTTGGCATTAAAATGGATTTTGCTTCTAATTTGATAGATAGTAGCTAAACAGGCATATACATTTTGCTGACACTCTGTATGATATATTATTATGCTTATATCTGAACACAGTGCAACTAAGCAAAACAGGTTATCAATTGAACTAATACATTTGCAGCAAAATTATTTGCATTTCGCTTTATTAATATCATATTTTACACTGAAACATACAACTTGCACATTCAAATAAAGACACTTTGGTGTATAATTGATTATATTTTCGTCTTAGTTTGCAAATATTCAACAAATAACATCATCCTGCATGTATTTAAAATGTAATACATATTCCAGTATAGAACACGTTATTTAATTTATATAAAAAATTATGCAAAAGTATATCAAAGCTACAAACAAGCAACCGAACTAAACCTAAAAACACTGTTACTTAGTCTCCATTATAGTCTTTATTGTATAGTCTAATTCCAATATTCTGACTTGACAAGAAATGTATTTAGTACATTCAGTTTCAGCTTTCAACGAAAAACATTCATTGGATTTTGAGAAAACTTGTGAAGATAGCTGTACACGGAAAATTACATTTCAGAAAAGCGAATGATCATTAATTTTCCCGATTTTACTAAATAAACTAGAACAAGTGAAATATTCAAAGGGGCTGGAATTCGAAAAATTGAACCTTTGCAAAACAGTGTCTTTAACATTAATTGCTGTTTTTTTATTGTTACCAAGTACGTACCTACATGGACACTAATTGGAAACGGAAATCGAAATTAGCTGCAGAACTTAATAAATGGTATTTTGAAGCAAAATTTTATATTATGTTTAGTTTTCATTTGCACTTCCTTGTAACATACAAGGTGGAGACTTTAAATCGCGTAAGTACGCTAGTGGACAGGGAAATAATTTTTATGAGTCTCCAGAAAAAGTCGTATTCTAATCGAATTTCACGGCTAAAAAGCGAGAAAGGCGACAAAATGTCTAAATTAATAAAAAGCGACAATGACACACATGTTTGCTTTTTACCGCATTTCGTTGGGTTTTAGAATTGTACATTTTCAAATAACTTTAATTCGTTTTTGATAATCAACAAGGCAATTGATTAAAAAGAGACGAATCGTTGACTTAGCCTTAAAACGATTAAAATGTTAATAAATTAGAAACAACTCCCATTTCCATCCACCCTTGGGCACGGTACTGATCTGCCTATTTATTATGTTATTCCAACAGTATTTCTTCAGTGTTAACTTAATTTATCCGCAAATGGAAATTCGAGCAAGTAAAAAAGCATGTATGATTTGTCATGTCCTGTTTAGCCTAGGATATATTTCCCTTTAAGGCTTCCAACGCCTAGACGCATAAATATTATACTAAGATGTGTCTCAAAACTTTGAAAAACACATCCTTTAACGCAAACTTTCCCGCCCATAAATTTCGCAAGACTCATAAAAAAGTTGTTGTATTCACTTAGAAGTTTAGCAGGCCCGTATAAGATCTACTGAATAGGGCCATCAAAAACGTTGTTAAGTTTGTTGTGAGAGGGTGAAACGACTCGTTAAAGAGTCGATTTAACGAGTGACTGTGTCACAAAAACTTATTATTTACTTATTTATCGTCCGAAAACAGGCAGAATTTAAGTTTGAAAATTCAAAGTGATTCCTTAATCCACGAATATAATTGGCTGTTACAGCTTTATAAGGGCGGTCCAAGAATCCTTATGAAAACTTGCCTAGTTTATTGTTTTAACGATGATCGATCAGAAGTTCAAACAAAAATGAGCAGTTGGAAACGTCGATTTCGAGATTTATCACACTGAAGTCAACATTCCCATTAAGTTAAAGAGCTACAGCGTTCAGCGGGCAATTTACAATGTCAAGATCATTATTTGCTATTCAAAATGACGAATGTCAGATGGCTAGCGAGTCTAGCGGTTACATACCGTAGATAATGTAGAAAAACTCCTCTAGCGGATATTTACCCGCAATGTCCATTCAAATAATAAAAATGACATCAGAACTTGGAAAGATTGGCTCTACTCAGCTCTACTCAATTAAATAATTAAAATCATAAAAGTACGTTCAATCAATTAATAATCCAAGATACTAATATTGACTTGAGTACACACGTTCCCATAGAGCGACTTTTGCTAGACAATTTTAATACCAAGTTAAAAATATTATCCATATTGGGAAGCGGAAATAATTGTGCAATAATTTTACAGTTTTTCCTGAAGTTACGAAGACTGGAAAATTATTACTCTTACACTTTTTATAAAATTGTAAAACAATTCGTTTTCTGCTAGCGTGGAGAAAATGTATTTAATATTTTTTGTGTTAAATATTAGCGATTTCATAAACCAATAACAAAAAGTGTGATTTTGCGGACTGTTAAGGTGAATAACTCATCCGGATGCGACCTTGCCACTTGTACAGCCCGGAAGCAATATAAAACGTTAATTAGGAATTTTTCGCACATAAGTTCAATTTAATTAGAACGTCATCACTGTGAGTTTGTATGTCTTGACTATAGCTACATGTGAGGTGACTTTTCCATACTAGGCCCATTAGTGCGAACTGGTTCAAGTGCCTAGTACATACGACTGTTTGTAGAACCTACAACAATATACGCAAAAACCTCGGAAAAAAAAATCTAACAAATATTAGTGCTCTGAATTTACAAGTTGCCTATAGATAAGTTGTGCTTAAAAGCTGCTTCTTGGTTGAAACGTAAAATAGTTCTTCCTCATTGTATAGACAAATGCATTAATTTTGAATTATGTGTATGCCACAGGGAAAAGTACCCATTTACACGAAAAATATTTGAAATCTATGATAATTTACAAATAATTACTTGCATAGAAGACTATTCCGGCAGTAAATTTCAGGCATGGTCTAGAAGCAAAAATGCGACTACAGGTGTATTATAGGCTGTTCTATTTGAATTGAAATCTTCATTGAACAA